CGAAGGCAGAGGCTTTAACCCACTGAGCCACCCAGGTGCCCTTTTATTTTTTAATTTTTAAAGCAATTTTCGTTACCTAGCTGGTAACTGATCTTCATTTTTCATTAATTGTTTTCAAGCTCCTGGATCCAACCACGCCTGAAGCTTCAATTTTTTTTTTTAAAAGATTTTATTTATTTGACAGACAGAGATCACTAGTAGGCAGAAAGGCAGGCAGAGAGAGAGGAGGAAGCAGGCTCCCCGCTGAGCAGAGAGCCCGATGCGGGGCTCGATCCCAGGACCCTGGGATCATGACCTGAGCCGAAGGCGGAGGCTTTAACCCACTGAGCCACCCAGATGCCCCAAGCTTCAATTTTATTTTTAATGTTTTGGCTTTTTTTTTTGTTGAGATATAATTGACATTTAACACTGTCTTAGTTCTAAGTGTACGACATCATGATTTTATATATATATGTACATACACACACATATGGTAGAATCACTGCCTGCTTCGATTTTCATTAATGTAACTGGGGTCCCTTCTACCTCCCTCTCTGCGGTTCCTGACTCTTTTCCCCTCAAAGCCACAGGACCACTGCTCAGGCTCTGCTGGGAGACTGCTCATTGTCACACTGTGGTAGGGCCCTCCAGAGAACAAGAGAAGAGCTCCCGTGCTCCATGCTGTCAGCAGTGGAGAATGAATGAGTGTCCCAGGGGACCCTGGTGAGAGGAGAGAGAAGGGCTTTCCTGTTTTGGTTACATTCCGGCCCCTAGGGAGTGACCGAGCCAGCTGTGGGCTGGCGCTGACGGCCAGTGTGTTGGGGCCGACTCTCCCGCTTTGGGAAAACACCATGGGCTGTCTGTGGCCTGTCCAACTGGTGTCGAGGGAGGCGGTAGACACACAGGGAGTTTATTTATTGATTGATCTAGCCCACTGACCCGCTCTGTGGGGGCCGAGCTGACTCAAGTTACACAGATCCTGTGTACGGCAGTCAGCTGTTTCCCTCACTCATGGTGGCTGCAGGGTGGGGGGTGGGCACTGTGAGGGGTACTGGGGTGGGGGTCATTCAAGCCCGAAGATGCACGGAAGTTCTATTTGGTTGGGTAGGAAGGGGTGCTGCCTGGATCCGAGACTAAATGCAGGCAGTCCTGTGGGCCCTGGACGCCCGTGGGGCCCCATCCTTCATCTGAATTACACAGGGAAAGTCTCTGGCACCAGGAGGCTCTCCCCGGGGTCCATGAAACACTCAGCGATCCCTAACAAAGCTTAAGGTGGGGGACCACGCAGACTGCTGGTAGGTGCCTGCTGACGCTGCCTGCTTCTCATCCATCTGCTCTTCTCCTGGCCACTGTGGTGGTGGGTTCCAGGAAAGCATGTGACCCAAGCGGGTCAGTCAGCCCCAGTCCTAGGACTTGTGTTGAGGGAGAAGCACTTCCTTGGGTGGGTATCCCCGAATCCCTGAAAGGGGCCCACAACTGCTGTCATGAGAAAACAGTGTCAGCAAAGCAGAGAGCAGAGCAGAGGTGGGGAGAGTGAGTCCCAGGTCCCGACAATGTTTTCAAGCCTCTGGATCCAGCCATGCCTGAAGCTAGTCCTTCCCCAGACTTTTCAGTGACAAGATGGTGTACTTCCCTTTTTGCTTAAGATAGTCTAACATGGCTTTCTTTCCCTTGTAACGTGTCTGATGAAAGAAACAGGTCACCGGCTCAGCATTAGATAGGCCCCAGGCATGATTTTTTCACCTGGGAGACTTTAGAGCCCCAGGCTGAGAAATACTGCCCAGGCCAACATGCCAACACACACACAGTACAGACAAGGTCACTGTTTCTCACATGCAACAGGCACGGGCAGTCCCCAAGCAGGAAGGCACATGCAGATGCAAGGAACCGGCTCCAAACCGACCAGGCAAGAAAGCCCCAAGGTAGGCACCTTGACGCCAGCTGGTAGCATACAAGTCCCCCAGAGTCCGGCGGCGGCCCACGGGCCGGGGCAAAGACCAGTACCTCCATGAGACTGGACAGGCAGCATGTGGAGGTAAAGGGCAGAAGGCAGAGGTGAGGACAAAACACTTCCAGTGTCTGGAGGCAAAGGGTACACCGAGTGCATGTTTCCATTTAGGAGTAATTATTTCTGAGCCTATGCCAAGCCCCAGGTGTCTTAAAAGGACCAAGTTCTTGAGTATTAACCTTGGACTTGGGTGTAGAGGCCACCAGTGGAATTAATCCTATTCCTAGCGTGATTTATAAAGAGGTACTAAGAGAAGCCCTTGTGTCAGGGGGAAGAAAAACGTACAGACTCAGGAAAATATGGTATTTCTCCCACCTTCTAGCTGTGTGACCCCAGGCAGGTGTCTCTACCTTTCTGAGCCTATCTCCTCATCTGTAAAATGGGGTTGATAATCAATCCCTTACAGAGGGATGCCTATAATAATCATCATTAACTGTCTAAGGGAACTAGTTTCCACGTAGTATATCACAACTCCTGAATCTGAGTTGATTCTTTTAGTTGGTCCAGCCCCTAGTGCCTTGGAGGGCCCCCCAAAACAGAGCAAACCCACAGACATTTTATTCTGAGGGGTGCTGGCCATAATAAAACTAAATGAAAAACCATTTACACATTTGTTTGTTAACTTTTGGGCACAGAAATATTCCCCTTCTTCTCACCCTCTTTTCTGATAAATACAGACAGTAGTTTTGTGCTTTCCCCAAAACAGTCAGCTAAAAGCCCCAAATGGTCAGCCCTGGGTAAGGCATAGCTATCTATTAACTGATCCTGGTTACTTATTGCTGAACATTTTGCATGTGGAACCTCATTTAATTAAGAAAAAAAAAAAAAATCCCATGATATAGATATCATCTCCATTTTCAGAGGAGGGGGCTAAAGCAGGGAGAGGTGAAGCTGCTGGCCCACTCTCCCTGCAATGGTGCAGCTGATCCACATTCAGGTCTGTCTAGCTCTCAAAGCCTTCTGCTTATTAGCTAAGATGAACTTGTCCTCTGGTTTCAGGAAAGTTCCTCCTGGGGAAATCAGAGTCGGTCGGGTGATGGTATTTCTGGCATTGCAGGAACCACCCTTTGGGACACCTGGAGGTAAGTTCTGGTAAGGGAAGTAAGTGGAAAAGGTCGGCCCTAATCCTGATGCCCAGTCCGGTCACTGAGAAAGCACAGATGTTTCTAGAAAGCTTCAGATGTCTCACAAATGAGCTGGAAGGAGCCCCAGCATCTTGGCCATCAGAATAGCTCAAGGGAGGAATGGTGAGGTGCTGACAGTGATCAAGCTAGGGCCCTCCTGGGGTCCCATGGAGATGTTAGGGTCCCAGCTCCGGCCAGGCTCACCTGGGTTGGCTCCCAAAAACCCTAAGAAAGCGCAGGCTTGCTGTCAGCCCCAAGCCCATGGCCTAGTTTTAGGCCAGTGAGCCACTGAAACTTGGGAACAGAGGCTGAAGGGCAGGGAGGGGTTGGGTAAGGAGGTCCCCAGGTGCGTGATGACCAGCACAGGTCTCTCTGGAAAGCGCAAGGTTCCAGCCCCTTCCTACCTTCTTCGGGCTGTAGGGAAAACTCATCCTGCACACCGTCCTGCCCCTCCAGGCAGGTTGCGGGGACCCAGCCTTGCTCTTCGGCAGTGCTGACAAACCACCAACCTGGGGAAATGAGAGTGCAGACTGAGGTTAGCTGCGCTGGGTGTGAAGCCTGGGGGTCAGAATATAGTAATGTCCAGCCCCTGCATGAGTCAGTGCTCGGGGTAGGGCGAAAGAGACACCATTTTACTGTGGAACACAACTCCCCGTTTTAGCTGCCTGCTAACTGCTCAGGGCAGCCTAAAAGGAAATCCACTCCTGAGTCTGGGACAGGGGACAGAAAGGTCATCCCGAGTGACCAGAGTAAAGAACGTGGCTATCTGCACTAAGGTATGCACTAACTCCTTCACTTGCACTATTTTATCTCATCTTCACATTCTCTTCCCCATAGCATAGATGAGGAAACCGAGGCTCCAAGAAGCAAGTAGGCTTGTCCAAGTTCACATGGCTTAGGCAGGAGCTGCAAGGTGCTCTCAGGGCTGTCTGATGTCTGAAGCTGCCGTTCTCATGACTTAGCCGAGACACAGATCTTGCATTTGCTCGTGGCAGGGTCGAGCTGGCTGGAATGTAACTGTCTGAGAAGCCTCTCACCCAGACCCTCAGGCCCTCCTTCTTTTTTTTTTTTCTTTAAGATTTTATTTATTTGACAGACAGAGATCACAAGTAGGCAGAGAGGCAGGCAGAGAGAGGGTGGGGGGAAGCAGACTCCCCGCCAAGCAGAGAGCCCGATGCGGGGCTTCATCCCAGGACCCTGGGATCATGACCTGAGCTGAAGGCAGAGGCTTTAACCCACTGAGCCATCCAGGTGCCCCCAGGCCCCCCCCCCAGGCCCTCCTTCTTTTGAGAAAGAGCTTGTACCCCATGGTAGGCAGAATCATGACTTGCCAAAAATGTCCATGTCCTAATCCTCGGAAACTGTGACTATGGTAAATTCTGTGGGACAGAGGAATTAAGGTTGCAGGGGTGGGATTAAGGTCGTAAAGCAGCCAAGCTAAAATAGGGGGGCTATCTGAGATGACGTGGGTGGGCCCCCTGGAATTAATTACAGGGAGGGCAGAAGAAGAGTCTGGGGAGATGAGGCTGCGGAGGAAAGACAAGAGAGGTGCAGTGCGGCTGGCTCTGAAGACAGAGGCAGGGACCATGAGCCAAGGGATGTGGTGGCCTCTCGAAAATGGAAAAGGCCAAGAAGCAGATCCTATCCAGAAACCGCAGATGGCAACTCAGCCTTGCCAAAGCCTTGATGTTAGCCCAGTGAGGGCCATTTTGGACTCCTGACCTACAGAACTATAGGATAATTAATTTATGCTGTTTGAAGCCACTAAGTTTGTGGTGATTGGTCACAATGGCAATGGTAAATTACCACATGGCCCAACAGGTCTGCACGATATCAGTGGAAAAACAGGATCTGGGGGCACCTGGGTGGCTCAGTTGGTTCCTTAGGCACCCGACTCTTGGTTCTGGCTTGGATCATGTTCTCAGGGTCCTGGGACTGCACCCCACAGTGGTCTCCACGTTCAGTGGGGAGTCTGCTTGAGATCCTCTCTCTCCCCCTTCTGCCTCTCACCCAGCTCTTATGCATGCATGCTCTCTCTCAAACAAATAAATCTTAAAAAAAAAAATAGAGAAAAATAGGATCTGTTCCCCAAGATCACACACCTCCAAGACCTAGACACCCCAAAAAAGAAGAGAAGGAAGGGGCAGACTACTGAACAGCCTTCTTGGTCTTACAGGGAGGCCTTTGCTTTTGACCTCCCTGAGGCAGAAGTCAGCTGCATTACTCAACTAGATGCTCCTTTGAAATACAAGTTTTGGGAGGGTGCCTGGGGTGGCTCAGCAGGTTAAGCATCTGACTGTCGGTTTCAGTGCTGGTTGTGATCTCAGGGTTGTGGGATCGATCCCTGCCCATGCTCAGCAGGGAGTCTGCTTGGGATTCTCTCTCTCTGCTTCTGACCCTGCCCCCCATTCTCTCTCTTTCAAATAAATAAATAAATAAATAAATAAATAAATAAATCTTTAAATAAAATAAAAAAATAAGATACAAGGTTTGGTGGCTGGGCACCGTGTACGTGTGTGTGAGTGAGTGAACAGGGCGCACAAATCAGTGCATATCCAGAAACTGGAAGGTATGTCGTCTGTCTACCTAAGAACTCCTCTTTGTAGGTATTTGTGTGGGGGTTAAGCAAACTGTCGCAATACAACAACGACAGCAGTGTGTACCACACCGGGTCAGAGCGTCACCTAGACTACTAACCGGCTGGATCCTCCCATGAGCCCTGGGAGCTGCATGTGACCGCCCCATTTTACCGACAAGGAAGCCGAGGCTCTAAAAGAGGCAGGGACTTGATCAAGGTCACAAAGAAAGCGGCAGAGCTGGGATTCAGTCCGAGGCTGTCTTAGCCTCCAGGGCTTATTAGCCCTCAACCATCCACACACTAACGCCTCACGTTGCCATGGGGAGGGTCAACTGCCATGGCCAGTTTGGAGGCAGGTCATTAGGCAGTGTCTTCAAATTCAAAATATGTGTGCCTATGGTTCAGTACTGTGTGTCATACCTAACCTAAAGAGGACTCGCCAGTGTGCTCAGATACACTGTTCACGCTACAGAAAAATACGATTTTTTCAGATCAAAGAGTATGCAGATATTGAAGGAAGAAGAGCTAAATGTTGACTAAAAAGCACGTTGCAGACTGAAATGATCAAAATGTACAGAGTGATAGCACTGGGGTTAAAAAAACTACAGAATCCTATCACTACACGCAAACTATCGTGTGCATATGGTTATATATCTCTGTATGGGCACACACGTGCACACATGTAGATAGGCCACATACAAACACGGACACATGTAGACATGCATATGCATGAAGACACATACACACATACATATATGTGCATACATTACCAAGAAGGATCCACAGTAAACTGAAAGAAGGTCTATCTGGGGCTTGGAAAGGGGACTAAGGTTGAAGCTAGTGGAAAAAAATAGATTTTAACTTTATCATTAATTTTTTTTAAATTTAATTAAAAAAAAAGATTTTATTTATTTATTTGAGAGAGTACAAGCTGGAGAGAGGCAGAGGGAGAGGAAGAAGCAGACTCTCTGCTGAGCAGAGAGCCCGATGTGGGGCTCAATCCCAGGACCCTGGGATCATGACCTGAGCCAAAGGCAGATGTTTAACTGACCGAGCTGCCCAGGCGCCCCTACCATTAATGTTTTAAGAAGAAAAAAAAGAAGAATGTCCCTACATATTACTTGGATCTGTAAAATATAATTAAAAAAAATTGTTGCCAGTTTGTTGGCCACTGTAAGATGTGACCTCCTGCCCGCCCCCTTTCCCCCACTGCCTCTGCACATACCAGCCTTATTCTCAACAGCCCATCCTGGCTCCTACTCTTCTCCTGGCAATGTATTCTTCTGGACTTTAGGCTCACAGGCTGCTCAGGGCGGTGGGGGTGACTTCCTTACTAGTCCCTGCAGGGCACCCTAGCCACACCCATAATCTGCATATACTCATTCCCAAGATTTAGATCAGCTGCATATACTTATTCCCAAGAATTAGAGAGTCACATGGCCTTGGAGCCAGTGGGAACTGGTTTAGAATTCCAGCTCAGTGGGGCGCCTGGGTGGCTCAGTGGGTTAAAGCCTCTCCCTTCCGCTTGGATCATGATCCCAGGGTCCTGGGATCGAGCCCCACATCAGGCTCTCTGCTCGGCAGGGAGCCTGCTTCCTCCTCTCTCTCTGCCTGATCTCTGCCTGCTTGTGATCTGTCAAATAAATAAATAAATAAAATCTTAAAAAAAAAAAAAAAAAAAAAAAAAGAATTCCAGCTCAGTAACTTGTCGTGAGATCTTGGGTGAGCGAGCATGGGACCTGGAGTCTTCTTGTTTCTTCAGGGGTGCAGTGGGGATGGCAGTTGCTATATTAAAGAATTTGGCTGGCTAACGCTGATCTCATGACGAACAGTAACATGATCCAGATGCTGATGCAAACTACTAGCCACTGGGATGTCACAGAGACTGGCCTGCTAATGATATTATTAGGCAATGTCGCATTTTAGGGACAACAAAGCCAGTGGGTTTTGCTACCTTTTCCTGGAGGCACAACAAAGCCAGTGGGTTTTGCTACCTTTTCCTGCTCATCCCCTACTCCTTGCTCCTTGCCAATGGCTGCTTTGTGGCTAAGGAAGGCAAGAGGAAAGGAAACCCACATTCTTGAGTACCTACTGTGTGCTGGGCCTAGGTGTAGGCACACTCTAGCATCTCATTTAATCCTTGTAACAGCTCTTTGAGGTAGAAGTTTTTTCTATTTCTTTAGAAGATTTATTTATTTATTTTTGAGGGAGGAAGGTGGAGGGGCAAAGGGAGAGGGGGAAACAGTCCCAAGCAGACTCCAGGCTGAGCGTGGAGCCTGACGCAGGGCTTGATCCCACAACCACCAGAGATCGTTATCTGAGCCAAAACCAAGAGTCAGACACTCAACTGACAGCGCCACCCAGGTGCCCTGAAGCTTCTTCTATTTTGCATACAAGAGAATTGATGGCCAGAGAGAAGCAGCAAGCTGGACTGCTGTGAAATGCAGAGTTCAGATGGAAACGCAGGCTAAGTGTCCGATCATACACCTTCCATCCCAGACCTGGCTGGTGTACACGACCAGGGGTCCCTGTGAGGACAGGCGGGCCGAGGAGATAGGCGATGTGTCTGTCCCATCAGAGCCCACAACTGATAGAGCCTTCAGGGCTCCATCCAGGGGAATGCTGGACCCCATGTCTCCAAGTGTTTGGAAACCAGAAGACACATTCATGCAACGAGACCCTCAGAATAAAGCAGTAACAATGAACCCGCAGGGTGCTGGCGTATTGTGACCAAGTGATGTCCAAGCACTGTGATCCAACGGGGATAGCTTTCTGACAGGGTGTCAGCTGGATCTGTGGAAACTGCCCAGCTCGGACCAGCCATGGCACTTCCTGTGCTTCCACTTTCTGTGTTTCTCTCTTATCCTAGGGGCTCGGTGACCAGGTAGGGCAGGGAGGGAGGCAGCTTGGTTCCCCTACCTGACTCGTTCTTCTCGATGATGTCCACCACCTGCCCCACGCTGAGGCTGATCTCTGAGCTCTCCTGCTTCTGGTAGTCAGCTACTACCACATACTGTTCCAGGACCATGGGGTCCACCGAGGTCAGGTCACCCCCTGTGGATACAAAACCTCATCAGATGTCACCTCTAGCCACCACCCACGTGTGAAGGAGCAGGAGCCGGGGGGAGTAGGGTGGGTCAGGAGAACATTTCAAAGACAGAGTTATTACAGGACTTATCTCAAGGGTCCCCTCATCTATTCACTCTTCCTTAATTTGCCCATACAGCTGCCAAAACTGACCACGTGCCTATTCAATGCAGACACTGTGTGAGCCACTGGGGATTCCGAGTCGGTCAAGATCATGGTCCCTGCCCCGAAGCAGCCAACAGCCTAGTAGGAAAATGCTTTCCCTCTTACCAATCTTCCATCCATCCATTCATTCCTCTGCCATTACTCATCCACCAACCAAACATCCACCCATCCCAAATCACTCATCTATGAATTCAGGATGTCACCAGTAATGCTCCAGACACTCTATTAGATGCTGGGGGCACTAAAGTGAACGGAACAGATGACTCCCAGGCTCAAGTAACTTCACCTCCTTGGGGAGAGAGAAACATGAATAATAATATGTATACAAGATAATGTAAGTATTAGTTTTTGATAGGTGCATTGCTGGAGACAACCAGGATGTTGGACCAAGAACGATCAGGAAAGGGGATGCCACATTCAATGGGGTAGTCAGCAAGACCTCCCTAAGGAGGGGATATGAACAGGAGACATGAGAGAATGCGGAAACAATGATGCAGACCGCCTCTCGGATAGGAAGGGGTCTGGGAGGAGGCCAAGGGGCTGGTGCGAGCGAGGACAGCAGTCCCGTATGAGGACACACAGGCAGGCATGGGTCAGAAAAGACAGGAAAGAAGCCTGGATTTTTTTTTTTTAAGCCTCGAGTAGAAAGCCACTAGAGGGTGTTAAGAAGGGAATGACAAGTACAGATTTACATCCTCAGAAAGATAATTCTGGCCGCCACATGGAATGCGGATTAGAGGCTGGCAAGTAAGAAAGCAGGAGACTAGATGCAGGTCATGGGGTTGTCAGGTAGGAGATGACGGTGGCTTTGGACCATGGCAGTGGCAGCGGGAAGAGACGGGCATGGACAGGTGCTCCAGGAAAGGCAGTTTACACGGGATGTGATGTGGATGGTGCCTCCTGGAGTTGTGTGGTCCCGGTGAAACACCAAGACATACCTGATTAATAAAGGAAGATATCCTATGACATGGGTGATGTAAAGGGACATCCGAGTTCAGAAATTCCAAAGAGAAGGAAACAGGCCTTTGAGAGCAGCAGACTGAAGGGGGTGGGAAGGCAGACATTTGTGGCCACAAGGCCCTGGTTTTGTGCAAGTCCTGATTCACAGTATTGCCTCCTATTGTTTCCATAAACAACTGCAATATCCAGGAAATCCCACACTTCTGTGTCCAAACAACTCAGTAATGGAGTGGGGTGCCAGGGTCACCTCACCCTGAGCTGATTTTGTGGGTCCCTTCCTGGCTCTGTCGGGTGACGCCTTGTTGGTGGCTTGAAACTGGCCACAGTGGGAGTATTTACACCATCAATATTGGCAAATGCTACAAAGCAGCACTCTCGATCAGAAAGCTGGTTGTGAAGTTATTTACCAGCACACCAGTGTGCCCCAGCCTCTGGCATCCAGAAGCAGCACAAAAGCCCTTTGTTAGAACCATGTGCTCTGAATCTCTGATGTGGAAAACCAGAATAGGGCATTGTAGCAGGGTGAAGTGTCACTGCTTCTTGGCTCTTCCCAGCTGAGGGTAATGGCGGGAAACAGGAATCGGGGAGGGTCCCAGGGCCACCCTGGGTGCAGAAAGCATGGGAACAGAGAAAGAGAGCAGAGGAGAGAGATGGAGATGTACACTGAAGGTTCGGGAGCAGGTGGGGAGCAAAGGAGCTTCGCATGAAAGCCACCATACATAACTACATGTCGTACAAAAACTGTGTCAACACAACCACCCTGGAAGGTGGGTACGGCCACCTCCCTTTTATAGACAAGAAAAGAGAGGCTCCGAGACCTTAAGTGACTTGCCTCGGGTCCCACAGCTGGGTGCTGAGAAAGCTGGACGGGACCCAGATTCACCCGGCTCAGAGGCTCTCCAGTGTGGTGGGGGCATGACGCAGGCAGATGAGGAAAGGAAAGGTGCTAGGGAAGGAAGGGTCATCTGAGGTCCGCTTTCCTTCCTTCCCTGTGCGTCCCCAGGAGCGTCCCCCCAGGACCAATCAGGCTGGGTCTGATTTCCTTGTGTCGTTCTGGGCTATCTTCTCTCCTCCAGCACCTCTCCCAAGGTCAGGCTGCTAGGCTGACACCCTCCTGGCCTCCAGCACGACAGTGCACCCCAGCCAGCCCGCCACCGGAGCCTGTCAGTAGTAGCCTTTGAGCAGGCTTGTTACTGCCTCTCCCACTGCCACCAGGAGATTGGAAGCTCCCAACAGCAGAAGTCTCGACAGTATCCTGGACCACCAGGCACTCTGCCCACAGAGGTCCTATCAGGTGAAGGAGTGGAGACAGACACTGGCTTGCTGGAGGCTCCCAGCCACTGCAAGCTGGGGACAATTTCCCCAGAGGATGCAACGGGTAGAGACCAGAGTCTATAGCAGTCTACAGCCTGCCTTAGGGATCACAACCCCAGGAATGCAGCTACCCTTCCGACCTGGGGCTCAGGTGTGCTGTATCCAGGCAACTGTGCTTCCCTGTCTCTCAACCTGACAGGAAGAACTGGAGAGATGGGAGAAAAGCAGCCACTACACAGTCAGACTGGAACCTGTGCCCACTGCCCAGGTGAATTCTCAGAGATGTGTCCAAGTCTTCGCCGCAGGAGGTCCGGGAGTGTTGTGCTCCTGCCTGGGGGTTCTCTGCTGCCACCTGGAGGCAGGTATGGATTCTTTCTCATGGGAGAAAGTGTACTTTGATGGGAGTGTACTTTCTTTTTAGCACTCGGTCCCCTGACTTGACTCACATCCTCAAGGAGCTCCATCCTCTGCACCAGGGTCTGAGAGAGGATTCTTCGGGATGGTGATGGTGGGGGAACGATGCGTATAACTGGTCTCTATCCTGCCCCTCTGTTTCTGACTCCATAGTGTAGAGTGCTCGCTCCAAAAATGCTTCTATGATCATGCTGCTCACTGCTCAGCATCTGCTATGGCTCCCAATTGCCCTCAGGTTCTCTACAATCAACTCTGCTGGCCTTAATGGCCTTGTCTTTTGGCTACCCCATCCCTGTTGTACCTATAAAACCTCATGAAGGTGCCTTTGCATGGGCTGTTTTCCCCGCTCGGGATGCCTTCTTCTCTCCCCTGCATTCAAATGGGAACCACCTATTCTTAGCCTCCTAACTGGTTTCCTGCCCCAGCCTTGACCGCTATAATCTGTTCCTGACACAGCAGCCACAGCGATCCTTTGAAAAGATGTGTTAGATCACATTCCTCAAAGCTCACAACCCTGTAATGGACTCCACCTCACTCAGGAAAAACCCAGGGGCCTAGGGGGTCCTGCCCAATCCCTCTGATTATTTCTTTTCCACGCTCCCCCGTGTGACACAGGTAAATGCATGGGTTAGGTTCCTGCTCAAATGGCATCTCATCAAGATCTTCTCTGATCACCTTGCACTGCCTCACCTAGTTGTTTTTTTTTTTTTTTTTTAAAGATTCACATACGTTTAATGTATATAAAGGCAAGGAAGGACAGTCCCGAATTCAGGAGCAATATTCTGTACAACTCATATGGTGGGGCTGAGTGCCTCACCTAGTTTTATTTCAACACAGTGTTTAAAAAAAATCATAGATTCTGTGTATTTACTTGTTTCCTTTTTGTCTGTTTTTCTACTCTAGAACATAAGCCCCATGAATGCAGGGACTCAGTCTCCTGTTTACTGTTGGATTCCCTGTCTAAAGGCTCACAGGCCCATGGTCTGGTTCAGTGCAAGGGGAATTAGGAAAAGATTTTTTTTTTTTTAAAGTAGGCTCTATGCCCAGTGTGGAGCCCAATGCGGGACTTGAACTCATGACCCTGAGATCAAGAGTTGGATGCCTAACTGACTGAGCCATCCAGGCACTCCAGGAAACCTTCTTTATTTTTAAAAGGGTTGTAAAGGAGAGAGGCAAAGGAAAAATTATTGACAGGGCCCACAAACCCTGAAATATTTACTATCTGGCCCATAAGAGAAAATGTTTGCCAACCTCTGGTCTAGAACATCATGGTACCTACTAGACTCAATAAATATCTGAAGGAAAAAAAAAAGAATATTCTAAAACTCACCTTTAAAGGACTTCCTACCCCACAAATAAACTAAAATGCCTTCCTTTAGAGCACTTACAACATTTTATTTTGTTTACCCATCTATTTCTCCTACCAGACTGTAAGGATACTTGCCACATCTTGTTCAGCTTTGTGTTCCCCAGGGGCTTAGAGAGAGCACTGTCGGGCATACAGTAGGTATTTAATAAACAGTTAATCAATAACTGTGTCTGACTCATTCACTCAGCACTTAGTATACACTCAATGGGGTATTTGTGGAGTGAACGGACAAAGGACAAAGGGAAACTTCTAGAAACTCTTCTGCTTTGCATGGCTTCAGGCCTCCTTCTAAGAGCACACGATGCTGACATTTATGGCAAGCCTGGCCATCTCACTGGCAACTGAAGACGACTCCTTCTTTCCTCTAAGCAGGGACAGAGCTTTGATGGAGTCAGGATCCAGTTAAGTCTGGTGACTCGGTCCAGAAAGCTCACTGTTGCCATGCAGTCTGAACAACACTGATGGCAGTACATTTGGACCACAACCAATTTTCAGGATTTTGATCAATGGACTGATCTATTCATTTCTGTGCCAACTTTCCCAACCAGGCCGCCAAGGGGACGTGGGAGAATGAAGAGCAGTGAAAGAACCAGAAAATCACAGGACTCACTGCAAACGAGACACCAATCCAGGCAAACGCGGAGTCAGGGAGCAAGGTTTAGCACTCTGGGCCAGCAGGAGCAGATCTGCTACTGGGCACAGGGCTCCGGCTGGCACTTTCTCCAAGACTTGCTAGGGTCCACGCCTGCGTCTAACCTCTCCTCCTTGTTTTTCTAGGACAGCAGCTTTTACACTGGAGTTCCTGTCGTTAAGTGGTTGGAAGAGAGTGCTTGGGGCTGCTTTTCCAGCACCAGTTCTTCTGCCTTCATTTTTCCCAGAGCCCTCAGTTTATGAAAACGTCATTCCTTTGATTGACCAGGATTCTCAAACTAGCTTCAGGCCAGTTAGGTGCTAGGTGGAGACACCTACTGGTGGACTGTGATATTGCGCCCAAGCTCTACAATGCAGAGTAATAGCAACGCTTAGAAGATGACACAGGTAGCTAAGTACTAGGAGCTGCAAGCTTGAAATCTAAGTGTTCCTCTGTAAGGAATGTCATTCTTGTGGTCCAGCAGGAAGGAGAGAAGAAACAGGTCAACAGAGAGGTCTGACAGTGGAAGGGTGATTTCAATACCGAGGAAGCGCTGTAAAATATTCCCATGAGGTACACTGCCTGAGACACCATAGAACTTCCTAACTGGAATGTTTTGATTCATGGTGACATGTCTTGAATTTTAATGGTAACTGCCATGCACTGCATTTTGTCCCTCCAAAATTCATATGTTGAAGGCTTAACTCTCATAGGATGGCATTTGGAGGCAGGCCTCTGGGAGGTAATTAGGTTCAGATGAGGTCAGGAGGGTGGGGCCCCCATGATGGGGACAGTGCCCTTACTAGAAAAGACACCAGAGAGCTTGTTCTTGCTCTCTCTCTTTCTGCCATGGGAGGACACAGTGAGAAGGCAGCAGTCGAGGGCTCTTGGCAGAACCTGATGGTGCTGGCCCTTGATCTCAGACATCCAGGCTCCGTATTTGTGAGGAAATAAGTTTCTGTTGTTTAAGCCACTCAGTCAATAGTATTTTCCTTATGGCAGCCCAAGCCAGACTAATACAGTGAGTAATGGTAAAGTGGGATTTTCTTTCCCGAAATTCACTATACTGCCAGTCTTGCTGAAAAAGCCAGTAAATCAGAGAATATTGCAATAAGGGTAGGAAAATCAAGAAGAAAGATGCTCTTTAAATAATCAGATGACCTCTTAAATTTGGTGGGAGGATTTTTTCCTGCCGGATGAACAGAAGTTGATTCCACATTAGCCAAAGTCTGCAGAGGCCAGCCAGCCGGCCATGACTAGCAAATTCTGGAAAGAGATGAGCTTTCTCCAATTCAGAGTTCTGGCACAGAAATCTCAGAGTTTGGGCTGTCAATCTGAAATCCCTTTCACAGTCAATCAAGAAGGCTAGTTCTAACATAAAGGAAGCGTTCAAAGGTCAGATAAGAAACTAAGGCTAATCCCAGCATGGGTCGTTAGCCTAAATGAAGAAAGATGCTATTTTCCATTCAGCTGAACTATAAATAAATCCATCCCCCATCATTGCAGGTGAATGATGTAACAGCCGTCACCACAAATTAGAGCCTCTTCTCTTTTCCAGACCAGTCCCCTCATCAAGCCTGTTCTGACCAGACATTTTGGTTTCTGCAAACCAGAGCTGTCTCTCTCCTCTCCTCCTTTAGCCGTTCCCTTCAGGAATGTCTCTGCACACTCAAAGCCAGAAACTCTGTGACCAGCCCAAGAGTGGCTGTTACTCTTCCCCTCTCTGTTCTTTTCTAAGAAACATATCATTACGCTCAGAGCTCAAGGACCATCTGCAGCTCTAACAGGATGCCGTGGCTCTGGTCAGTACCTATTAAACCCAGAAGTGGAGCTATAAACAGACTGGTTGGGGAAAGGCGGGCATTCGTTCCAGACGCCAGGCCTTGAGGGAAAGAGACCCAGTTTCTCTCCACTCTTCCTTGAAAGAACAGCCTGGGCCCTATAAAGCTGACCACAGCCCTTGTACCCAGGGGGCAGTTAAAGAGGCCAGAGCGGTTGAATTTGGACAGGGACACCCATGTTGCTTTGAATTAATGGTGGTAGTATAGAGACAGCAGTATACACGGAGTACTTAAAATATGCCAAGCATTGTTCCAAATGCTTTATACATATTACTATAAATCTTACAATGACCCACCAGGACAGGTTACTATTGTTATCCCCATGTTACAGATAAGGGAACTGAGGGGCCATGAGAGGAGGCATTCTTTTCCACGTCCAGAATTTCTGCTTGGCCCCTCTCTCCCTACATCGTTATCAACGCCCTCAATCTTCCTGGAGTCCTAGATGCATAAAAGAACTTAGACTTCTGGAAGCTCTGAAGACCATGCTGGCTCCAGGTGTGGGGGTCATGGGCAGGGGACTCTGCAGATATCGGGGCAGGGGTGGGGTAGGGCAGATAATCCTGGGTCGCTAGAAGAAACGGTCAGACTGTTGTGAATCTAAAGTTATCAACCCCAGGCCTGCAAGGACTGAGTCACCCCTTTGTGCACACCCGAATCCCCACCTTCTCTTTCTCTAGAGGGAAGAACTGTGGCTTCCAGGGAGGAGAAGGGAGGCTGGGAAGGGAGGGAACTGAAGCTCGGGAGAAGGGAGTGAATGCTGGAGGTGCTGGGAAGAGCGGCTGTTTCTGCCCAGAACAGTGTCCAAGTAACAGAAAAACAGAGGCTAGGCCGCCCGCCTGTGTGGCTCTCCTCGACCCCCAACCGTCCTTCTCTCTGGGGAAAGCTCCCGCTTACTCTGCAAGACCCAGCATCCCTTCTTTTTGACCCCTTCCACACCTGGGAAGAATGCTCTCAGGTGTGAGGCACCCCATTTCTGTACTTAACCCCCTATAGGCGGTTGGGGGTGTCAGGCTCCCCTACTCCTCTGAGGCAGTCACAGGGAAAGACAGCAGGTCTTATCCAGTCTGTAACTTTTTGGTATAGGATGTAGCAACCTCCAATTCTTTTCTTTCTTTTTTTTTTGCTGGGGTGGGGGTGGGTAAGCAGGGTGGAGTATCAACCAATCCATCAGGCATCAACCCATCCATCCATCCATCCATCCATCCACCCACCAGTCACATGCTGTATCCCTTGGGCAGTGCCCAGGGCCCTGCGATCACAGGTGCTCAGCAGGGGTATGTTGAACATTGAATGAATGAAAATGGAAAATATTCTTACCAGATTTCTTTTTCCCAACATGCTCCCTGCACAGAAAAGAAGGGGGTGGGAGAGAATGATGAGTTAGTACCGACCTGAATTACTCCATTAGGAACAGGAGATTCTCCATCCCAGAACATCGCCAGTGAATACAATCAGAGGCAGCCTCAGGGGACCCAGACTTTGAAAAAGGAAGAATTCCTCTTCATTTGCTCCCTTTGTCCTGTAAGTGTTCTGGTGCCCAGGAGACCAGCCTCTCTACTCTTATTTGCAGAGTAGGGGGCCCTAGGGAGGGGCTGATGTTGGGGATGCAGTATGAAAACAACGTTAGGCCCCCATGTGGCACTGAGCCAGATGCCACCTCATCAGGCCCAGCAGAGGCCCTGCCCCGCTTCTTAGGGCTGCCCTGCGCTGTACTCATGGAGCAGAAAGCTTTTGGGGGTATGTGGTAAGCAGAACGCAGGAAAACTGGGTAGAAGTCTGGAAATCAATGAAAAAAACACATCTCTCTTGCGGTGACATAGAGAACACTGCTGTGGGCTAGAATTCATACAGAAAAATGAGTAATGACTCCCTTGTATTTGTCAACCACATTGGAATTTATATATGCAACTGCATTACCGATACAATATTACAGATCAAGGATTACAGAATACTTTCAGGTAAATTATCCCATTAGTAAAAAGGTTTCCTATATCATAAAGGGAAAAGGGAGGCAACAGGATGGTTGGGTAGAGACAGATGTCATGGCAGCAGTAACATTAGCTAATAATTACTAAATGTTATTACCCCATGCCAGTATCTTGCTAGGTACTTTTAGTTCACTCATTTAATAGTCATAATAACCCTTGGAAATAAGTAGTCTTTTAATGCCCATTTTCTAGATGAGGAAAATGAGGCCCAGAGAGGTTAGGTAACTTGCCTAAGGCCACACAGCTAGCAAGTAACAAGCTGAACCCAGATCCACCTAATTTTTTAAAAATTGAGCTATAATTCACACACCATAAAATTCTTTCTTCTGAAGTGTAGAGTTCACTGGTTTTTAGGATATTCACAAGGTTGTGTAATCATCACCATCATCTAATTCCAGAAAATATTCATCATTCCAAAGAGAAACCCTGGACCTATGAACAGTCACTCGCTGTTCCCACTCCTCCCAACTGCTGGCAAATGCGAATTGGCGCTTGCTATCTCTAGTGACTTGTCTACGCTGGACATTTTATATGAATGGGATCATACAGTACGAGGCTTTTTGTGACTGGCTTTTTTCAGGTGGCCTGTTTTCAAGGGCCCGACACCTTGTACCGTGGATGAGTATTTTATTCCTTCTCATGGCGAATAAAATCCTGTTGTGTGGGTAAACCACACGTTGCTGATGTGTTCCTCAGCTGACAGGCCCTGGGTTGTTTCCATGTTTTGGCTCTTACGAATCATGCTTCTGGGAACATTTGTACACAGCCTTCTGTGTGGACATATATTTTCATTTCTCTTGGTTCTATGCTGGAATGGAACGTCAGGTCACATGGTAACTCTAGGTCTCACCGTTTGAGGAACCACCAGGGCGCCCCCCACGGCAGCTGCACCGTCGTACGGGCCCGCCCGCAGCGCACGCGGATGCCAGTTCCTTCACGTCTTCCACAGCCCTCTCTGCTATATCTGCTTTTTGGTTCCAGCCATTCTAGCGGCTGTGGTTTGGATTCGCATTTCCTGGTGACTAAGGATGCTGGGCTGCTTCTCCTCTTCTCTACTTATTGGCCATTTGTGTATCTTCTTTGGAGAAGCGTCAAATTCGGTCTGATTTTCAAGTCTGGCTTTTTTGCCACCGGGTAATGACCCTGTCTCTGTCATTGCGGGCCTCGAAGGAGAGGGTGAGGAGGCTAAGCCAATCCCTGAGAAAGGGGCTGCGCTCCTGTGCATCTGGGAGGAGCAGCAGGGCCTGGCCCCGGAGCTGGGCTGCGCTGCTCCGTCGTGCTGTCCCTGGGCCACGAGCATGACCTCTGTGGGGCTAAACTTCATTGCCCCTGTGGGGGGAGGGGGAGGGCAACAGTGGAAGAATCTAGCTCACGTTTACCTGCACTTGCTGGGTGCAGGGTGCTGGTCGGAGTGCTGTATCTGCACCCACCCGAAGAACCCTCACTATAACCCTTGAGGGTCACTCCATGTCACAGATGGAGGCACGGAGGCCCATAGAGGTGAAGCACCCCACCCAACATCAGAACCCAGGAAGCCCAGCTGGGGCCCACGCTCCTGATCACACCCTGGCCTGGACGGTCGGTGAAGTCTCCTTCTTAGCGGCCGGCTCCAAGACACACCCACAGAGGTTCCTGAAGGCTGCCTCTGCGTAAAGCTCCATCTGCCTGAGTTGCCATCAAGGCCTGTGACCCAAGCCACCGTCTGGGATCCTTGAAATCCTGGGCTCCTGCCTGCCTTATATTCCTGCTGCTTGTCTTGCTGTCCTGGCCGGAGCCGCGAGTCAGGGGAAACAGGGGGCTCCTGGGTTCAAGCTGCGGCAGCACGTGTGGGCTCACACAGGCACATTATGTATGTATCTGTATGACATGCTTGGGGCGGTCCCAAGTTTTCCTATGCAGGGCAGCAAAAACTCTTCCTTTAACAGCACCATGTGGAATCCATCTTCTGTCTCCCTAAAGACTGCTGGGAACAAGCCCCAGTTTCCATTTTAGACCCTAACTCGGGTATGAGCTTCAGGAGCCTGACCCAGGGACCAGCCATTTCGCTGCTATTTCACTCCTCCCTCAACCCATAACCAAGGCCCACCTGAGTGAGACTCACTGCCCGCTGTGGCCCCAGAGCCATCCCCTGGGTCCTTGGCAACCATCCCACTTTCCTTCCCTGTCAAAGCCTGGCTTAAAGACAGGAAGGCATCACCAGGTAAGGACCCCTCATGCGCCAGGCTCTCGTTATGGGCAGGATGGTATTGAATCCTCACAACCAAGACAGGATCGGAGTTTTAGCCAAGACCACTTTACGGATGAGGAAACAGAAGCTCAGAGAAGTCATGACACCTGTTGAAGGTCATCATATAGCAGGGAAGGGACAGAGAGATTGGAAACTCTTCCTTCTTAAGAGTTTAAGAGTTCCTTAAGGCTTCTTAAGGAAGCCTCTTGCAACTAGATAATACACTCCAGCAGGATGCTGTTAGCTTATCATGGCTGTGCTTTCTCTGCTGTAGTCTAGGCTATGTTTTTTAGTTTTAGTGGCTGTTCTATTTGTGCATATGTGTGCTTGTGTGTGCATCTGCACCTGCTCTCTCTCTGGTTAAAGAGCCTGGCTGGCACTTCTCAGCCCTTCCAGACAGGTGCTTGACCCATGACCACCCCACACCTGTGGGCTGGCCTCCTCTCCCGCCCTGAGACCGTTCCACTAGAGAGAACACTTCTTTCTGCAGACACACACGGTGGTTTTCTCAATTAAACTTATTAAAAAGCACGATGCGTATGTCAGTGTTTCGGGCTGGCAGGGCCACGGGTGCCATCAACTCCTGGTGTGTAAAGCCAGCAGGCAGGGGGTGAGAGTCTCTATAGTGTGCCTGGGCCGCCCGGCCCACTGGGCATGCACTGACAGGCACCCGGGGGTGTTTTCTCCTCTTCTGCAGGGGCTGGGGTGAACATTTTGGACAGTGTTAGACCCTGGATGATCAGGACCAAATCCTGGTCCTGGCCCTGTTGCTCACAAGTGCTGAGACCTCGAGCAGGTTGTGTCACTCATTCATTCATATCCTTCAAGAGCAACTTTACCCTTGTGGCAAGGCCCCACCCCAAGGGCACCCAGGCTCCTGCTTTTAGCACTCTCCAGGCGTGCCTGGGAGGTGGAGGCATGTAAGGGATTCCAGTAGTGACCCTGGACCAGCTTCCTTCCTCGGTGAGGGCCACGTGGAGCAAGACCCCACAAGGGCTCAATCAGGATGGTCAAGTTTAATTTTTCCTTTGCTCTACTCCTCCTCCTCTTGGAACCGGCCCAGGAGCAGGCACGGCCATGAGGGCACGTTCTGGGGAAGTCCACACACCAACTTACTCTTTGGGCGGATTCAGGTCCTCGGGTCTTGTCTCAAAGAACTGCAGCACCTCATCACACTGAGAGATGTAGGGGGGCAGCTGGATCAGGGCCTGGAGAAGAGACACAAATGAGTCCAAAGGAAGGAAAGGGGTATCAGGAATGGCATGAGTCAGGACTGCTCAAACCTGGGTATGATCAGAATCACGTGGGGGGCTTGTGAAACCAGACAGCTGGGTCCTACCCCCAGATGCTCTGATTCAGTAGATCTGGGGTAGGGTCTGAGAATGTGCTGCTTTGGGGACCACACACACATGCATGTGTGCACACACACTGTGTACACACACACACACACACACATACATGTTATGGGCATAGCTGAGCAAATAACATGTATACATTTATCTAAAACATGAAACTGGGGACTTCATGCATGTCGTTATTCTGCTATGACTTCACGTCGACTTGATGCTGAGTGTATCTACTGCCCAAATGTGTCACACATTACTGACCCAGCTGCCTACTGGTGAACACTAAGCTGGTTTCCAACACGCCTGCATGCGTGTCTTAAGTTACAGATCTGCCGTGTTACAGTGAGGGTGCTGCTTTATGACTTGGGTAGAGGTTAGGAGTTCCAGGTTACTGAACATTTGGCATCTGTCACTGCCCCAGTCCATATTAATTTGCCACCCTAGCTCATCAGTTAAAGGAGCCTCAGATGTCTGCCAGCAGGTTGGATAAGGAGCGGGTGGAGGGCACAAAGGGGACCAGGCATTCGTTGTGCCCATTCAGCTCCCAAGGGGTATCCATTCAGTGATTCAACAGACACGATCTCTGGGTCGACATGTCCAATACGAAAGGATGGGATGCACCCCCAACCGGAAAGGATAAACTATGACGACGCTCCATCATGAATAAAGAGCTCAGGGCAACCGATCTTTATTTAAGCCCCTTCTGGCCCAGGTCCCGAGGATGCAGATCGTGGGGCAGGAGAGCTGCATCACGCACACATGCACAAATGTAAACAGCACGTGCAATTCTGCCAGCCATTTCAGCCCACCAGGGCATGCTCCTGAGGGACGCAGAACTCTGCTCCTCTCCACAGAAGGCCTCGTTCCTGGGTGCCTCTCATGTGCCTCCTGCAGGTGCTGAGTGAGTTGGGAGTGGAGATAAACACGTCCTCTATTTTCTATATAACAAGCCCCTAAAAGCTCACCTCCCATTCATCCCCTGCAAAGTGATACCCCATCCCTGACACGAGGCTGGGCTGGACTAACGGAGAGACAGATGGGAGTCTCCACTGGTACCTTCTTCTGGGCTTCAGGGGTATTTCGATTTATTTTTCTGATTTTTGAAAAGTTTTAATTGTGGCAAAATACACAAAAAACCTGCCATCTTGATCATTCTTTTTAAGTAGGTTCCATGCCCTACGCAGGGCTCAAACTCATGACCTGGAGACCCAGAGTCCTATGCTCTACTGACTGAGCCAGCTAGATGCCCCATCATCTTAAGTATTTTTAAGCGCACCGTTCAGTGGCATTAAGTACATTGGCCTGGTTATGCAACCATCCCCATCTTCCATCCCCAGAATGCTTTGTTTTGCAGAACTGAAGCCCTGTACCTATTAAATAGTTCCCCCTTCTTCCAGCTCCTGGCAACCATTCTATTTTCTGTCTGTATGATTCTGATGACTCTAAGCACCTTGTCTAAGTGGTATCATACAGTATTTGTCCTTTTGTGCCGGGCTGCTTTTATTTAGCTAATGGTCTCAAGGTTCATCTATGTCGTAGCAGGTGCTGGACTTTCCTTCCTTTTCAAGGCTGAATAATATTCCACTGTACGGATAGGCCACGTTCTGTTTACTCATTCACCCACTGATGGTCACCTGGGTAGCTGACCCTATATAGCCTTTGAGTCCGGCTCAGGCTTTCAGCCAAATGCCTAGGCTGTCTCAGATCTAAAGAAGAAGATGTGAGGTGGGTAGACATGTTTTAGTAGGGTGACCTCCCTAGTCACTGTCCAAGCTTTACCTTCTGGGGTGAAGGGCCTGCTATTTTGTGGCTCACTGATTTAATAGCCTCGATGTACCTCCTGTTCTGCAGCCAATCCCCAGGGACTGATCTTTTCCAGGCTGGAGGCAGAGAGCCCAACAGGGAGAGAGCAGGCACTTCCCGCCCCTGCCTTTGGCTTCTGACCTCCTTCTCTTTCTGGTTTGGAGGATTCATTCTGCTTGGGATGAGCTGCTATGTTGGGGGGCCCCTTGGGTCTCTCCTTCCTCTGAAATCCCGCAGCTCATACAGTCAGAACCACATAATGAAAGAGCTGATTATAAGCTGGACCGTGGTGCGTCTTAGCTGCTTTGTGTGCAGAAATCTTGTGGCTGCCCCCAGACTTGAGTAACACCATTCCCTTATGTCGGCTCAGCACTTGACAGCTCCTGATACGCCCTCGTCTATGTCATTCCATGTAATGCTGGGAGGGCTGGCCCATTTCAGAGATGGGGAAACGGAAGCTCTGGTGAAGTAGGTAGGATCGGAGAGCCCAGGGCTGGCCGACTCCAGCTCCTCGACCCCGAATCCACGGAGGGCATGGCTATGTGGCTCTTCCCCTGCACCTTCCCTATAGGTCTAGAAAGTGCTGGGGATTCTCTGATAACCTGTTTAGTGTATTCACTGGATCAATGCCATGAGGGAAATGCTAGGTGTGGCCGCATGGCCCTTTCTGGGGGGAGCAGGGTAGGCTCTGAGGTGGCCATGGCCTCCACCTATGGTGGGCCTCCCAGGGTGATCCCTGATGAAATGAGCAGAGGCTCTGAAAGAACCAGTGAGGGAAGGGATAAAGAGGCCCATGGAAACCTCCTGACAATGCCAAGTTCCCTTTTGGTTTTGAGCAATTCCTAGGAAGTAAAAGCCAAACCCCCAAACCATCAAATACAGCCAAGCTCCTAATAAAAGGCGGCACCCAACGCTTTGATGTTTGTCCCTTTCATTTTGGAAGGACAGGCTAACAGTAAAAACGTGACCTGGGGCACAGAAATAATTCTGCTTCTGAAATACTCCAGAATTGTCTTGTGTTCGGTCAGTGAAAACAAAGAACCACAGTTCCAGGAAAACTCGCTTCTACCCTGGATAGAATCCTGGCCCTGTGGAGAGATGTGGCTGGTCGATGGCAGGGACGAGAGGAGAGGTGAGCAGAATGAGTCCCGTTTGCTGAGAGTCATGATAAAAGGTCAGATGGACCCAGCTCTTGATTCTAGCTCTGGCCATGTCCCATCACCTCTCTGAGCCTCAGTTTGCTCATCTGTAAAATGGAAATCACAAACACCCCCCTGGAAGGTCGTGCTACCGAATGAGTGAGTTAAGGTTTCCATCATACACTAACTGCTTGACAACATTAACTCTCTGCCTCTCAGTATTGTATCAATTAAGTACCGTTGAATGGTAGTTCCCGGTGGTGAATCTAGAGCTAGCAAGACAGCCTTGTTAGATAACAATGCCTCGCCTAGTGAGGGGGTTGAGTTTTCTCAGTTCTTTCAGTCCCCTTGAACTTCAAAATGAATGTCCCAGAGAATGACCACTTCTCTCTCTTTCTATTTTTAAAATTTTATTTTGGTGTGATAAGAACACTCACGAGATCTATCCTTGTGACAAATTTTAAGTACGTGATACCGTATGGCTGGGTGTCGTACTGGGGATCTCTAGAGCTTACTCCTTTTGCTTGACCGAAACTTCACGCCCATCAGTTAGTAGCTCTGCATTTTTCTGTCCCTCCATTGCCTGGCAACTACCAATTTGCTCTGCGCTTCTGAGTTGGACGATTTCAGATCACGGAAGTGGAATCATGTAGGATTTTATCATTCTGAGACAGGCTTATTTCACTTCCCACGGCATCCTTAGGTTCACCCAACTGTGATGTATGTCTGAATATCCTTTTTGAAGGCGGACTAGTATTCTGTCCCATGTATCTATCACCTTAGGTTGTTTCCACCACTCGGTTCCCACACCAGACTACATTAATTACTGTAACTTTGTAACAGGTCTAGTGAAGCAGAAAGTTTCTTCCCGGTGCTGTCACCAGCATGGGAGTGCTAATCTCTCTTCCAGATCCCTGACTTCAATTTCTTTGGCTGTATACCCAGAAGTGGGATTGCCGGATCATATGACAGCACTATTTTTAATTTTTTGAAGAACTTCCATACTGTTTTTCATAGCAGCTGCATTTCGCATTCCCACCAACAGTGTGCAAGTGTTCCAATTTCTCCATATCCTTACCAACACTTGTTTTTTGTTTTTGTGTTTTGTAATAGCCATCCTGACGTTGTGGTTCTGATATCCATTTCCCTGATGACGAGTGACATTAAGCAGTTTTTCATATACTAGTTGATTATTTGTGTATCTTCTTTGGAGAAATGTCTATTCAAGGTCTTAGCCCATTTTAAAATCAGGTTATTAGCTTTTTTACGATTGAGATATATGGGTTCTTTATATATTTTGAAGATTGACCCCTTGACAGATAGATGAATTGCAAATATTTTCTCCCATTTTGTTTGTTGCTTTTTTTACTCTGTTGATTATTTCCTTTGTTTTGTAGCCTTTTAGTTTGATATAGTCCCACTTATTTATTTTTATTTTTGTTGCCTCTGCTTTTGGTATTACATCCACAAAATCACTGCCAAGAGCCCTCAAATAAATCCACACATACGGGCAACTGGTGTTTGAAGAAGGCTCCCAGGACATACAATGAGGAAGGGAGAGTTTCTTCAACAGATGGTGCTGGGAGAACAACATCCACATGCAAAAGAATGACACTGGGTCCTTATCTTACACCACATGCAAAAATCCACTCCAAATGGATTAAAGAGTTTAACATAAGACCTAAAACTGGGAAATTCCTGGAAGAAAAAGCTTTCCTTCCTAACTTGCCTCTTAAGAGCAGGACGAGGTTGGGGGGCCTGGGTGGCTCAGTCAGTTGAGCATCCAACTCCTGGTTTTGGCTCAGGACATGACTTTATGGGTCATGGGATCGAGCCCCATGTGGGGCTCCGTGCTCAGAAAGGGATCTGCTTGAAGATTCTCTCCCTCTGCCCCTCCCCCAGCCCTCACTGGCATATGCT